ACGAGGTTCGACTGCTGACTAGATGTATTTTATTTCACTTCAATTTTTCATCTCACCTTCAATCATCACCCAGTATAAAATACCAGTCTCCCAAACTACAGTTATCTCTTATGGTCAAATGATAATATAATATATATATATATATATATATATATATATATATATATATATATATATATATATATATATATATATATATGTCTAATGTCACACAAACTCGAATATCTACAGGCGAAAAGTAACAAGTTGATAGAAGAGGCAGGGCAGAGAAAACGGGACTTCAAGTGAATATAGAGAAGACAGAGGTGATGAAGATACACAACTAATAACACCACCAACAACAATAACAAGCTCTAATCACCATCAACAGGAGAAACTTAAACGAAATAACCTCTTTCACCTACCCACCTCAGCAGCATCGTTTCAACTACAGGCAGCGACACAGGCACAGACGAAGACATCAAAATCAGACACGATCGGAAAGACAGCAAGACAGGCCTTCATTAACCTGAAACCAGTGTGGAGATCTTCTTCACTGCACTGCACTGCACTGCACTGCACTGCACTCAGCATAAAGCCTGAACAACATCCAGATTTTCAACACCAATTCAGTCAAGTCAGTACTTCTACGTGATGGTTGAGAGATTTGGTGCCTTACGAAAGGCATTTCCAACAAACTACAGATATTCATCAACAACTGCCGCCTACACTCACTGGATACTGAAGATCAGATCGGATGACCAGAATAATAAGAAAAAGCAAGGAGGAACTCATTGTGGCTGGTGACGAACCAACAAAGAAGCTATTGCTCAACGAGTATGCAGTAGGAGGAGATGGAGATGGAGATGGATTGGGCATACACTGAGAAGACCATTTGGGGACATCACGCAGCAGGCCAGTTTCTCGAGTGTAACCTCGATGGGGAGCGATGAGTTTGGCTTCGGAGCTGAGGGTGAGATGGAGGAGATGGTGTGTGAGGAAGGAAATAGAGGTTGTGGGTAGTCATGGAGGCAGGTTCGAAGGATTGCAGAGAAGAGAGTGGAATGTAGACGTGCTACTGAAGCTGTGTGTTCCATTAGGAACCGAAGGGACAAATAATAATAATAATAATCATATGCATATATATACTCCAATTTAAGGCTGTTAAAGATCATGAGGAAGCAAAACCTAATCCGCTGACTGTACCATGGAATGCATACTTTTTGTAGCACGGCATATATCCAAGTTGAGCTTGACTTTCTAAGAGGGACGCTTGCGGAAAATGGTTATCCCAGCCGATCTATCGATAAGAATATGCTGAAATGACATGTGAAACTAGTCATTTGTTCAGTTTCTAAAAAATCTTTGTTCCTGAGTCTGGAATGTAAAGGTGATGCAACATCAGATATCCTGGAAAATCATCTTTCCAAATCACTTAGTAGGACTTTTTTTCCAGCCAAACTTCACTCGATCTTTACCAGTTGTAAACTGTTCTACGTTTATATAAAAGACAATATCCCTCGACAGGCCATATCCTTGTGTATCTCCCAGTTCACCTGTTTCTATGTAGCAAGCTAAATCGGCCGTAGTCAGAGATTACTGTCAACATGTATACGAAAATATATTCCTGCCTGGTTTTATAAGGGTGAAAGGGAAGTGAATTAGAAGTTCTATCTTTGAACATTTAATCAATTCCAACCATTCAACCGACCACTGACAATGATTTTAAGGTTATCTATCGAATTCGCTCAAACACTTCACATTTCCTCCTTATTCAGCTTTTAAAAACAGCAGACACCTTGGCTATCCATGAACTGAAGCCTATCTGACCTTTGTGTGCAAAAGAAGTATGTAGAGTCTTTATCTCTACCTTGGCTTTCATTTATTTTAGTCTTGGTGTGCTTCGTTCTCTTTTTTCGTTTTTCACCCCCTTCCCTTTTTTGTTAGATTAATCTTTGTACTCTTACATCGCCATTATCACTCTGTCTTTTTGCATTTGGTTGTTTCCGGTGTTATTTCTAATAATCACAACTTTTAACAAAACATTTTCAATTAACTTCGATTCAACTTGTTGTCTCATATTATACTGGATGGTTGGAAGTGAGGTGAAAGTCTGGACGGCGGCTGGATTCGAACCAGCGACCACCGGGCTATCGGTCCAATGATATACCAACTCAGATACGAGGTCTGACTGCTGACCAGATCTATTTTATTTCACTTCAATTACCAGGGGGTTCGCCGGACTGCCATGTGGATTCTTTAGAAGCCCTGACTAGGCAGCCAGTTGGAATACGATTAAGTGGTTGTAACGCGTTACGAATTCACATGTTAGTCAGTCAAAACCCCCTGGTGATTGAAGTGAAATAAAATAGATCTGGTCAGCAATCGGACCTTGTAACTCAGTTGGTAGAGTAACAGGCCGGTAACCTGGTGGTTGCTGGTTCAGGTCCGGCAGTGGTCCAGATCTTCATCTTACCTTGAATCATCATCCAGTATAAATACTAATCTGTCAAACTACGGCTATCTCAGATAGTCAAATGATAATCATTCATATTACTGAGTCATCTTTGGTTGTTTATTAACTGTACCACGTTCTTACTCATTTTTTAATCTATATTCACCTTATAAAAGGTTTGAAAGTCTTGCGCAACCCCTTTCTGTTATCATTCTACCTATAAGTCATCAATTAGCAACATTATTATAACTATACCCAGCACTATTATTGTTCCACCCGCCCATTATTTAAGTTAAATCTTCTTCATGGATTATTATTATTGTCTAGATATCTACTAATTGCATGGTTCAGATAATAGTCACTATAGACTGAGGAATCTACCATGAATAGTTTAATGTTTCTCCCAGCAGGAGATTCGTGATGAACCAAAAGATGCTAGCCCGATACAACTAACCTTAATGCTACGACTCCAGATCATATACTGACCACCCCTCCATTTCTTCCATTCAGTTCCAGGGATAACCAAACCACTGAAACCACTGTTTTCAGATGACCACTTTTTGAGTAACGATTTCCAACATACTCGAGCACTTACTGTCGTACCTGAAGATTGCTTACGTGGTGTTGTCATTGAATACGGAAAATCCTACGGAGATAACAATGATAGAACACACATAGTCGTCTCACATCCTCAACTTGGAGAGGCTAGGTTTCACAAGGATAGAGCAGAACTGCCGGCACCAAAGCGTTGTAAACTCAATCTTTTACAGTCAGACTAAGATTGTGATGGTGTCGAAGGTGGTCGAGATTGACGTATGCCACTCTGGCTTTCGATATGCAGTTGGAAATTTCATCACTCATCCCTCCATCAGTACTGAAACAACTAATGAGATACATGAACTTTTCGACTACTTCCAACAGCTTACTATGGAGGGTTGGCTCAGACACAGGCTCCTGACAATTTTGCAAGAGTAGTTTGCACTTCACTGGTGCAAAGCAGATGCTATAATTGCGGAGAGGCAACTGCATAAACTTACGCCCTATGTAACTTGTTCCACAAGAATAGTTAAAATTATGATTTAGAAGATGAGGAGCAAAGATTTGGCAGACTATCCTTCAATCTTGGATTTAATATTGACCGACTTTAGAAGCGATCTGCTGAAAGCGTACTGTTGACTTCTGAAGTCAGGCGTTGTGTTAACATGTCACTTTCAAGGTCTCCCTTTTCAGTAGCATTCAAGGAAACAAAGGTTTCTGCTTCACTGTCAATAATTCTGGTTTACAACAACAACAACAACTGCTACTACTCACACTACCACTACTTCTATAGTAGGGGCTGCTGATGGAAATGGATATAAGTTAAGTGGACGGCAGAAATTATGGGCAATTACCAGAAATGAGTAAAGATTCTTCCAGAGAGACGCAACAGATAATGTGGGTGTATTAAGAGCAGCTGAAGATAGAAGCAGAAGAGGAAGTAAGGCACATTGTGCAGGTGACTGTCGTAATAGATTTTAATGTAGAGTCTCCGTCTTCTCGTTTTCTTCAGTTGTTTATCTGTAGTAACTCCATCACAGCTAGTGCTGTACTCACCAGCTGTCTGGTGACCTTGATCAGTTCACTAATGATTATGAGTTGGGCTGCGTTCCCTGGTCTAAGCTACTGAGGGATGGCATTTGTGACATCTTCGGTGAACTGTGCAGCTAGCAACTATGCATGGCAGTCCTCAACCGAAGTGGGAAGTGCTCATCAATGTAGTTTTATCAACTTCACAGCCAATAACTACGGGTCTTCGTCTATTCGAAGTTTCATGTGCCAGAACTGCTGCATAGTAAGCTCCCTGTCCACTGCATTGGTAAACCCCGCCTTCAGGCGTTCAAAAATTCGTTTCCAAGTGTCCTTCCCATCCACACATCTACACGCCATGCAGCCTTCGTTCAACATCTCAGTAACATGCCGATCACCACGACCTTCGCTCATGGGTCCCGGAACCAGCTCCGCAACCAACTTGAAGTCTCTGAGGAATACCTTGATGTCTCCATCCCCGAACACTGCAGACCACGGAGTGTTCATCATGCTCAGAAGCAGCAACCTCAACTACAGAAAATGACATAACGGTAACGAAGAGCAGCATGTTTAATATTGACATCTTGTACAGTAGTTAATCAAATACTGTACACCTTCCAGTGAAACAGTCACGATGGTAATATGCTTCGTCTCCTCTTCGGCTTTTAACTCGATTTGCTCCTTATACGCCCACATTGTTTCTTGTGTTTTTCTATGATTTCTGTCACCCAATCAACATTTACTACTTATATCCAGTCTGATCAGCAACGTCCAGAACTACTAAAGCTAACACTTCTATGTCTAATGAAGTTTCCACTAAAATTCGCTTTCTGTAGCCAATTGTATTGCCACTACTACTACTACTCACATTGCGACTACTACTACTACTACTACTACTACCACTACTACTCGCACTACTACTACTACTACTACTCACACTACTACTACTACTACTACTACTACTACTACCACTACTACTACTACTACTAGTGCTCACACTATGACTACTACTACTACTACTACTACTACTAGTGCTCACACTATGACTACTACTACTACTACTACTACTACTACTACTACTACTACTACTACTACTACTACTACTACTACTACTACTACTACTACTAGTGCTCACACTACGACTACTACTACTACTACTACTACTACTACTACTACTACTACTACTACTACTACTACTACTACTACTACTACTAGTGCTCACACTATGACTACTACTACTACTACTACTACTACTACTACTACTACTACTACTACTACTACTACTAGTGCTCACACTATGACTACTACTACTACTACTACTACTACTACTACTACTACTACTACTACTACTACTACTAGTGCTCACACTATGACTACTACTACTACTACTACTACTACTACTACTACTACTACTACTACTACTACCACTACTACTACTACTACTAGTGCTCACACTATGACTACTACTACTACTACTACTACTACTACTACTACTACTACTACTACTACTACTACTACTACTACTACTACTACTACTAGTGCTCACACTATGACTACTACTACTACTACTACTACTACTACTACTACTACTACTACTACTACTACTACTACTACTACTACTACTACTACTACTACTACCACTACTACTACTACTACCACTACTACTACTACTACTACTACTACTACTACTACTACTACTACTACTACTACTACTACTACTACTACTAGTGCTCACACTATGACTACTACTACTACTACTACTACTACTACTACTACTACTACTACTACTACTACTACTACTACTACTACTACTACTAGTGCTCACACTATGACTACTACTACTCACTGCTTGCAATACTGTCAGTAACTTTTATACGAGCGCATTGCCCAAATTCTACATCCAAATTTACTACTAAAGTTTAATGAAATAATTACAAAATATTTGAAGGTATATTTAGTAAAATATCAAATGTAATCTATTTACGTTTTATTCTTGAAAATCGAAAGGCAGAAAATATAAAATTTATCCATTCATTCATAGATAACACTTATAGATGATATAATGTTCATGTGTGTATATAAAGAGAGTGATTAAGAGAAAAAAAAAGTACAAAACTTATATAAACACAAAAATAGGCAAACAAACAATAACAATAGACAATACAGAGAAAAGTAATATGATAGTGATTGAAATGGTTACTAAACATTGAGCATTGAACATTGAATCCAGGTGATTGATGGTATCATATAAATATCTAACCTTGATATGATCAGTTACTTTTTAGATATATATCGATAAATAAAGTATACCACAGCCGCTGTTAACAATAAGCCACCAACTATACCAAGGACAATATCTACAAATGTAAAATGTGTAGGACAATTTGTTATAGTCAATGTATAAATTTTAAATGTTAGTATTTACAAAACACTTGAACATTGAAGTTAACACTGTGCTTACAATATCCGATGATCAGTTCAGTGTATTAATTACAGTATATTCTATACTATACTATTCTATATTATGTAAGTGATATCATTACTATGTGGTTAAAAGCATAGGCAATATAGAGGCATCCACCCAGGAGTCCACATACCAGTAGACACCGATTAAGTAGATCCAATTAACGACGGTATAATACAATCAATAATACTAAACCTATACCTGTTGCACAAAAAAGCGACTGTCGCGACTTGGTGGTCTACAGGATAACATTTAGGTAGTTGAGGCGTTCCGTCCCCACCTCGAATCCCAGTGGAAACAACAAACCAGAACTGGGATGCAGGTACATCCAGCCGACGAATCGCAAATGGGATGGAATGAACAGTCAGCTGGATTCCACAGCTACCCGCTACTCATCATTAATATACCATCAAACTGAAAGTTTAGAATAGGTAGGAGTTATGAAAATTGTTTGAAGTTTTGTATTCGATAAAGTGGGGCACACTGAATCTACGTTAAAAATCTTAGTAGATGTTAGTAACCTTAGTGGAATGTGGCAAATTATTATTCTGATTATTCGTCCTTTGAATTCCTATAGGAACATGGAGCTTTAGTTGTAAGTTACCATTTCACTCTCTACTCTGCAGTCTTCTCCTTCAATATGACTCCGCGACTGCCTAGAAGCTTTCATTACTTCTTCACGTGATCTCCTCCAAGTCACCCTCAGACACCTGACTCGTCGTTTCCCCTTTGAGTTTCACTTGTGGGGCTGACCTGACTTGGCTTGGCCTCGCCTGGAGCGTGATATTCGCAAACGGTCTTAGCAAATTATAGTGGACACAAAAATTTTACTTACATATAGTCCTTGTCCCTCCTGACTTGACTAGATTTTCATCAACTATGAGATATTTGGAAAGAAGTTGACAATTTATAAGAAAGGAAGAATTCCTCGACATTGTGAATCAAATGTATATATCTTTACGCAATGGTCAGGGTGTTATACCACACTGACCCAACAAGGCGTAGTGATGGAATGCTTGTTCCCATGAGATCCTACCATACAAGGAGAGGTCTGTAGGATAGTGATTAGACAAAAAGCAGCAACCCTAACCCTTAACATGTTCTTAAACAATAAAATGATGCATCAGGATGGTTTAGATCAGTCATCAGTGGGTAGTTGTCCCACTACGCCTTTTATAATACAAGCCACTTTTCATGACTTCAAAGAGGCTGTAGAGATCGGGTTTTGTCAGATATCCCCTGGGCTCTGCGTTCACGCGGTAACCCTTCTTTTTCGAGTACCTCAAGAAGATACAGCCTTCCACAATGTAAGCAGCTGTGAAGAGTCGACCACCTTCACAACTCTGTGAGCGTTCAAGTTCCTTCAGACCACTGTCCATCTCTCTCAGCAGCTTTTGAAAACGATCTGAGTTCACAGAACATCCTCCATGATCTCCTTAATCCACATTTCAAATTACACATTGAAGCCTTCAATGTCTCCATCTTCTGTCAAACTGGCCAACAAGCCTCATTCGCGATGGATGTGTTCTGTGTTTTTGAGACAAGTATACAGGACCCAAGTTCGGTAACTCACCTATCCTCTTCAGGCCAACATAGTGAGTCGGCAAAATTCACCCTTCGATTTTCTGTAGGAACAGATAACGGTGATCGTCTACTACAACTTTGCTCAAATAACCATTTATTTCTAGCCAGCGGAAATCCCAGACATAAAGGAAGACAATGTCTGACGTGTTACCTTCTTAGATCAAATCAAAGCCGGATACAGATGGATCACATTGCTATCAGTATTCGTTGGAAACGGTGGTTGGATGAATGCCTTACCTTCTGAAGCAAGTGCTTGGATAGCATCCAAGCCTTGGTTCGAGCATATTAACATCTGTTTATCGATGGACGTCAAAAAAAGGTTGGCAATGAGACCACTATGAGTACAACTAGACAATGTAAGCAGAAAAGCCGCATTCAGTGAAAAGGTGGCCAGGCTAAAAGCAGAGGAGAACACCATCACTCATCCGGGGGAGGGAAGGTGAAATTTCCAGGCTATAGTAAAAATGACTTTGACGAACACAGCTGACTCTTAAAAAGTGGTTAAAAGAAACCAGTAGATATCGTGATCAACAAAAGAAAACAAACGATGCAGACGAAGTCATAGTTGTACGCGAAATTAAAGCAGTGAACAAAGGTCCACAAAAAGGCGAAGGCGTAAAACAAAGAAGAGTAAAGTTATACGAAAAAAAAGGCATACAAAAGTATGACATAACATATTCGAAGTGGCTGAATCATTTACTGTAGAAGGTTCGGAAGGAAGGATGAAATGTACCTGCTGATGTTGGTTAAGGGCTGGCTTGTCAAACTGAGAAAGAAGGGAGACGTAAGTCCTTGCAAGAACTGGCACGAAATGATGCTGCCGTCCACCGAAAGCAAGCAAAATATTAAGGCGCATCATCCTGGAGAGACCAAAAGATGTACTCGATTCTAAATTACTACCGTAACAGGCTGTCTGTCTGTCTGTCTGCTGTCTGGCTGCTAGCTGGCTGGATCGCATGCTGGCTGGCTGACTAGCTACAGGAATTGCAATCATTTTCGGACCAAATTACAATGCTACGCTACATCATCGTAGAATGGAGCATAGAATGGCAGTCACTGTACCTGTACCTGTACCTCAACTTCATCCACTCTGAAAAGGCCTTCGACACAGTCAATCGAGAAGTAATTTGCCAGGCAACTGCTTCAACGCTACACTTGAAGTGCAACAAACCTTCATCAACATCATTCAACAGCTAAGCTATATGAAGACGCAACATGCCAAGTGTTGGCAATGCAAAGCTGAGTGACACTTTTGAAGTGAAGACAGTAAGGAGTAAGACAAGTTTGCCACCCAGTATCACCCATGATCTTCGTGATTGTGGTGAACCGGATCATACAGCAAACCGTGAGGCGCGAGAAGATGGGCATAGGCTGGCTGTTTGACCGATCAAAAGACCGTAGAAGACTTAGATTTCGCCCATGATGATTGATGTCTGATGTCTTCTGTCGTACAAGCTCGAAGATGTAGAGGCAAAAAGCAACAAGTTGGCAGAAGAGGGGAGGCGAGTCAGCGAAGACGGAAGTGGCTTCAGTTGAGTGTAGAGAAGAGAGAGGTGATGAAGATACCCAGGCAACAACAGCATCAACAATAAGCACCAATCACCATCCACTGGGAAGCCCAAAGAACGTAGTCTATTTCAACCACCTAAATACCTACTTAGCTACCTACCTACCACCTACGTCCGTACCTACCTACACACCTGCCTACCTACCCACATGTCTAGCTAGCTATCTACCTAACAACGTACATACATATCTTCCTGCCACCCCACAACTACATACCTACCTACCTGCCTACCTACCTACCTACCTACCTACCTACCTACCTACCTATACAGCATCGTTTCAACCACCACTCGTGGCACAAATGAGGACTTCAAAGTCGGGATCGGATAAGCAAGAGAAAGCAGGCCTTCATCAACCTGAAATCAACGTGTAGATCTGCTTCACTCAGTATAAAGAATAATATCTGGATTTTCAACACCAAGTCAGTGAAGTCAGTGGTTCTATGTAGTGTTTGAGAGACCTGACGCGTTACGAAAGCATTTCCAATAAACTGAAAACACACGTGAACAGCTGCCGCCTACGCTCACTCGATACTGAAGATGGAGATCAGATGGCCAGAATAGTGCGAACAAGCAACAGGGAACTCTGGGAGTGAACCAACCAATAACCTATCACCCAACTAATACGCAGAAGAAAATGGAGATGGTTGGATTGTGCATACACTGAGAAAGCCATTCAGAGACCTCACGCGTCGGGCCAGACTGTCGATTGGAATCCAAAGGGTGAACGGCGAGTTGGGAGTCCGAGGTGACGGTGATATGGAGGAGATCATGTGGAGGAAGAAATGAGAGCTTGTGGGCAGTCTTGAAGCCAGGTTAAGAGGAAGACTGCAGAGAACAGAGTGCAGTGGAGACGTGCTACTGAAGCCCTATGTTCCACTAGGAACCCAAGAGACGAAATGTTGTGATAAGGCGTAATTCGCATTGGTTTACAAGTTTTGTCGGTCGGGTGATTGTGTTGGATTGTGAGATGGAATTTGATGTGTGATTGTTCGCGACTGGGTGGCATTGGCATCAGATTATGGGGTGGGTGTGTTGATGGAATTTTAGTGAAGTGTAGTGAATGGTGGTGATGTCTAGAGTGTTGTGTTTACACGAGGCTGACTGGCTTTGGGGGGTTATGGCGACGATATTGATGAAGATTGAGTGGTGTGTGTGTGGTGTGTAGTTATGTTTGCGAGTGGCTGTGCATGAATGAACGTGAAGTAATAATTTTAGAGTTGATCCTGCTGACTACGGTGCCGTTATCTTATT